GTCACCAGCTGATCACCCATAGATCCTAATTGTAATTGCTTTCATTATCAATTTTGGTACCGTAATTCATTTTCAAAAATATATTATTTGCTAAGTTTGCTACAAACAAGGTAGTGAACGCATTTGATCAGTTATAAGAGTTCACAGATTTTCTTAGTAGCATAACATAGATATGTTACCTACTTGTGGTATATAGTAAACATAATCTTCATACTAAAACATGACTGTTATACAGGTGTGGCAGGGACAGGTGAGGATGAGGGAGAGCCTAAAATTGTGATGGTGCTGGCAGCCACTAACTTTCCCTGGGATCTTGATGAGGCATTGAGGAGAAGACTGGAAAAGAGAATATACATACCCCTACCCACAGGTATATAAACATACTCCTACTCAAGTATATATACATACCCCTACCCAAAGGTATAAATACATACCCCTACCCACAAGTATATATACATACCCCTACCCAAAGGTATAAATACATACCCCTACCCACAANAAGGTATAAATACATGCCTCTACCCACAGGTATATATATACATACCCCTACCCACAGCTATAAATACATGCCCCTACCCACAGGTATATATATACATACCCCTACCCACAGTTATAAATACATGCCCCTCTCTCTCTCAGTACAAGTACTGAATCCTGCTGTTATATATAGTTTGTATCCTGTTAAAGCTATGTTCCTACATTGCTACATAGAATTACTGTAATCTTATCACCACATATGAAGTTGTTTGCTGTAACCCTAGTGCTATTTGTGCAAGTAAATGCTGTATTCAAGGTATGAATATATACTGTATAATGACCGTAAAAACTTGATGTTTCTTGTCTCAGTGAATGTTGATCTATATACTCTAAGGGAGTGTGTTTATTAGGGTTCATGTATAGGTTCCATTTGTTGACTATAAATGTTACCCTAACAATGAGCTGTTGTAAATGTTCTGGGTGTTCAAAAAATGTTAACCTTGACTTGATAGCTGAAGGTCGTGAGGAGCTGTTGAAGATCAATTTGCGAGAAGTAAAACTGGCCGACGATGTGAATCTGACTGCTATTGCGCAAGAGTTGACGGGATACTCTGGTGCTGATATCACCAACGTCTGCAGGTAATGTGTTGTAATCATTAAAATTAATTATCCCCTCGCAACGAAAGTTCGAGGGGATCTAGGATTCCGCCCGTACGTACGTTACACTCTTTGTCATCACTCTACCGACTTCATTCCTTAATGGAATTTCATGAAACTTGAAACCAGTGTTAAGTATGACAATATGTTGAACAAGTTCCGGTTACTGCGTTAAAGGTCAAGGTCTATTTTACTATTTTTACCAAAAAACCAACTTCATTCCTTAATAGAGTTTCTAGAAACTTCATACAAGTGTTTGGTATAGCAATGCCTTGAAAAACTTTTCCTTTCAGGTTTCTACGTTGAATGTCAAGGTCACTGTTACTTTTTTTTTTAGAAAAAACTTTGTCATCGCTCTAGCGACTTCATTCCTTAATGGAATTTCATGAAACTTCATACAAGTGTTTGGTATGGCAATGCCTTGAACAACTTCTCCTTTCGAGTTTCTATGTTGAAGGTCAAGGTCACTGTTAATACTATTTTCAGAAAAAAACATGTGTGAATGCGAGGGGATTTGTATCACTTGAGATGCCTTGTTTTTGTTTTATTTGACAGTTCTGTAATTAATGTATTTATCCTAGTTTAGTTGTAAAAACAACACCAAACTTTGTGCTGCATGCAATATGTGATACTATATGTGTCAGAGTGAAATGATTAAAGGAATTTGTATAATTTGGATTA